CGGGGGCACAGGGTCTGGAGGCTGCCCAGCAAACTGTGAAGCCGGTAGCGCTCGGGCTTCGGGCAGCGCCCCTGGCCGGGCACTTCCCCTCCCGGGCTCTGGCTGCTGTGCTCCTCCACTGACCCTTCGGCTCTGTTTAAGGGCCAAACTGCCTCCGGACCCTGCACCACCAGAGCAGAGCAGCTGGAGCCCAGGAGGGGAAGTGCCCGGTCGGCGGCTCGGGGTCCAGAGGCAAGGGGGCTGCCCGAAGCCGGAGCGCTCGGGCAGCTTGGCTTTTAAACGGAGCCCAAGAGACAGAGGAGGAGCAGAGAGGGGAAGTGCCCGGCCGGTATTTTTCCCGGACATGTTTGGCTTTTTGGCAATTCGCCCTGGACGGGGGTTTGATTACCAAAGCTGGACATGTCCGGGAAAAAACGGACATATGGTAACCCTATTTTATATAGGGAGAGAAAATAAACCTAATGCTGCCATCTTTATACATCACAAAGGAGCAGTAAAGGACACAGCACATGTAAATAAATGCCTTTTAAAATCTTTTTGACTCAAAAACAAAATTGCTTCAGTAAGTGTGTTAATGTACTGAAAGTTTAAATAAGGGGTTTTTTTTATACACACAGGTGAACATTTTAAAGAATAGAAGCCTGAAATTAAATTCCTATGTCTGTATTTAGCCATCTAAGAGTGAGATTTTCAAAAGCACTTAAGTGGCTTGGAAGCATAAGTCCCACTGACTTCAAACTGCAAACCTCACAGGAGCAGTGTAGCCGGGTTAAAACATTTCAGTTTTCTTGATTTGTAGAAAAATAATGTATTTGAAGATGGTATTGGTTCCGAATATAACACAGGCTATTGGCTTATCAGTTTATGTTGTTTGTTGTGACGGCTGTAAGCATGGAAACTTCCAAGACTACTCTATTGAGTTGTGCCACACATTAGACACATATTGATTCAATAGCCTATGAATATGCTAAGTGGAGTGTGTATCTTTGTGTTCTGGATCACTGGGTGGGTTTACTGTGGAATCTGGCATTGGTGGAACGTATTTACTACAAATTCCAATGCTGGTTATGCACATGCCCAACACTTTGAATCTTCAGTATCAGGAGATAGCTGAACTAAACACCAGCTTTCTATGGGGATCACAGTGGGTTGCAGGAGGAAATTGCAGCCTAAATCTCCTATCTAGAGGAAGAGGAACACAAGTTCCCACTCTGAGAAAGTCTAAAGGCCCCAGAACTGACACACATGGTGGTAGCCATGTGATAATATAGTGTTTACCAGTGCCCACCCTTCATAAAGCAGAGCATTTATTCAGAACAAACTCATTACAGAGAAAACATATCTTAAACAATGAACAGTCTAGACTCGTGCTAAGCTTACCAGGTATTATCTGTCATGCGCATGGGATGCTGGCAGTTCTGTACACAAGTCTGTCAGTTCTTTGTTCCACAGTGAGTCTGCCCTGAGCCAGGTCAGGCTGACCCTTTATACACAGTTTTTGACACCTTTTTCTCCCAGGCCTTCTGACCTAGGTAAAACTAATCTCTGCCACTTTCCCCAGGGACCAAAGCTTCAAAGGGCTGGGTATCTGCATACCTGGCATTGGGAATTTGCAATAATTACCCCCTTCCTCCACTCGGTGATTCCATAGGAAACCCACTCAGAGAGCCAGGAACACAAAGATATATTACACTTACTGATACAATAGTCCATGCATTTCCTGTGTGCCCATAGCATCTGGCACATCTCAATACATTAGTCTTTGAAGCTTCCATGCTACCAAGCTCTCACATCTGTCTCACCATTCTCACAGTTAAAGTGTTAAGGAAGCCCTAGACTTGTCTTTCTCTGCACAGATGAGCATTTTAAGTGTGAAACTCTCATTTTTAGAAAAAAATCTCCAGGTAAAATCTAAAATTCTATTAACAATTAGGAAACTAAAGAAACAAGTACAAAACAGCCACTTGAGCACTTTAAGAAAGTAAAGTTCTACCAACATGTACATACATTTTTTTTAAATTAAAAATTGATTTTTAAGTCATGGGTTGTTGTTTTTTTAAAGTTAGTCAGACTGAGGATTATAAAACCTATTTATAGGAGACCAGAATAATTACATTAGTTGTGAACATTTACTTTATCCTCCTGATGTCATTTTAAGGCTATCTGACTGCCCATCAATATAAAAACAACATGCCTTTATTCTCCTTAAACATACAGAATTAGGTATTCTTAAAATCATTGATAATTTGCCTTATATTGCCACCAGAGAAATATTTTATATTGGTTGTTACAGGAATATTTATGGTAGCATCAGGGATGTGAAAAGCTATTAAAAGCAATCACACAAGATCTGGCGTGGTGACAATGGTGAAAACATTTTGAAAGAATGAAAAAGCACTGGAGGCAGAGTTTGGAACAAATAGTTTCCAAACCAAACACCCACTTGAAACTGGACAACTGAACATGTTACAACAAAGTGCCTGCCCATAAAACCACGTAAAGTAAAAAGTGAAATGTGAGTCAGTGTCCCTCCCTCCCTCTCTCTCTCACACACGCCCCCCACATCCACCGGTAAACCTCCCTCTGCTGGCTTGACACTCACCAGGCTGCTGTGTTTGGGCCCCCTGTGCTTTAAGCCTCCTGAGTCTGAAGAAGAGAGTCCAGGCACTGTCTCTTACCAGGGTCTCTAGGCATACTGTCAGAGAGCAGATCTCTGTCTTAGGATGACCATACGTCCTGTTTTGGCTGGGGCAATCCCTTTTTCAAGGGCAGACCCGGGCATCCCAAAGTTGCCAAGAGCAAAGGGACAAATGCCCACTTTTGCCAAAAAAAAAAAGTGGGGTATGGGAAGAATGCCAGCCCCACGCGGGGGGAGGAGGCAGGCAGGGCTCGAGCGAGCAGCGACGCCAGCCTCAATGTTTGGGAAATATGGTCACCCTTTCTGTCTAGCACCCCTTTCTAAGAGCTGAGGCCTTGTGGTCCACTGCCTACACCCTCTGAGTAATGCTGGCTCCCCAGACTCCCCAGTGGCTTAAGCACACCATCTCTCAACTGCAGCCCTGTGGGTGCTCCAGGTTCATAGTTTAACTCTTCTGGGATACACAACAGCCTAAGCAGACAGACCACAGACAGACGTTGCATAGGATTCTAAGGCAAATTACCCTTTACTTAAGTAGCACAAGAAATATACAGATCTATACAAAATAATAAACACACCTGTACACATTTCCCTGCCTCAGCTTTCTCGCCATGCTGAAGAGTTCTTTAGGTTTAGGGTAGAGTCCTCTCAGGAGTCCAGAATCACCCCTCCTGTAGTTCAGGGCTTCTCCTCTGAATCATGGAGCCTCTCCCCCACCCCCCACCCCTGCAATCCATGCCCATGCTTCCTCTAAAATGGCAGGTGAGAGACCCTTTCTTTTATAACCTTGTGTTCTCTTTGGCAGTAACATAACAATCAGGCTTATTAAGGGAGCAGGTGATCCCTTGTTCTGTGCCCCCCCCCACACCCCATAGTTCAGACTTGAAAAACTGGCTTGCCCTAGGCAGTAGCCATCTCTTTGTCCAAGGGTGTGCCATTTGAATGGACAATCACAGTTTAACAACCCTCTGTTGTTAGCCCTGGGCAAGAATTTCTCTTGTTACCCACTGTGGGTTTTAGCTCAATATGGAGAAACAAAGACAGCTGAGAAGGCAAAGACGAGCCTTACAATCCAAATAGAGTTTGCACCCTGACACTGACGTTTACAGAGTTAATAATCTCAATCAGAATTCATAAGTGGTACCCTGTCAGATTCCCCAAATTGTCACGTACAGAGTAAGTAATACATTCCTACCTATTAATAGAAAAGGAAGCAACGGATCTGATAAGGGATGCCACCGCTCCAACTTTACCAGCTTCAACTGCTCCCAGTAATCTATATTTGACAGTTTCTTCATAACTGATGAAAGGCTGGTTGTAAACAACAATCTTCCCCTTGGCGTCTTGAGCTCTTTTGTGCAGTTCATCAAAAGAGGTGACCACTAGGACTTCAGCAGTAATTCCTAGAAGTAAACATCACAGTAGTTTTAGATGTGTTATCCTATCACCAGCCCCAAGCCACTTTGGCATATACAAAAATACATGTCATGTACAGCATTTGTAATGCAAACCAAGAAGAGGAGGTCAAACATGAAAACCTCTTACTGGAACAGATAGCATGTAAAGTACTTCCTCAGAGAAGGTTATTCAACATGTATAACCATGTCCTTAGTATAAATCATGCTATCAGCTGATGTTAAAATTGAAACTGAAGGCAAGAGAAGATGTGAGAAAAGTCTTTTTCCAAATAAGCTTTAATGCATGAATGCAATTATTTAAAGTGCAAAAAACATTTTGAAAGACTTTCTATGGCATTTATAAAACAGATATGTAATCTTCTCTTGTAATTGTTCTGATATGTTGCTAAACAACTTAGACTGACATCACACATATGAAAATACATAGTTTTGGAATGATACACTTAGAAACTGATGCATTCCATGAATCAAGCTTTTCACAAATGGTTAATGTGAATATTTACAATTCTTGAAGACAAACTTGCTGTAAAACCTTTTGTAATATATTTAAAATAAAAAACACTTCTCATGCTTAATCTACAGTACACGTTAATTGCATCACAGAGGAAAATTTACCATATTTTTCAAATGAAATATTTTGAAATTGCTATAATCCTATTGCCTTGTCTAAGGAAACAAAGGAATTTAGAAGTAAGCAGGTTCTCCCATACCACAGAAAGTTTCCCACATCTCAGAACATTCATTTGGAGATTACCCTTAAATGTCGATTTCACCGCAAACATACAAAGCCACATCAGTAAGAATCAATATTTACAGCTAGGCAAAGAAAGAAAAATGTTGCTTGAAAACTCAGTCAAATCCAGTGATTAGACTTTTGGATTAGGTTTGTTACAAATGGACTAATGAATGAATAGTGAGAATGGGTATGATCTCTTGATTTAAGGATATTTACTTTGTATATTTTGACATGCTATGTTGATAATTTGTGTTCATAACAGTTGTTATAAAGGTTTAATTTTTTGAATCTCAACATCTATTACCATTAAATAAATGTCTGACCCTCCCATAATTTCCTGTAACTGTGAAAATTGGGGGAAAAGATCAAAATCTAAAAAAAATGCTTAAAAATAAACAGATAATATCTGTCAAAATTATTTTAAAAATTGAATTCTACCAAGCCCAATGGATTGCTTGGCTTTTGAGAAATCATTCACAAAATTTGACCACAATGATTAAGATTCAATCCTGTGGATTGGTTACAGTGATAAGTGGAAACTGTTTAACAACCAGGACCAGACTTTGCTGCTAAATATAGAAGCAGTATGGATGCCTGGAGTTTTAGTGCTGTACATTTGACCAAGAAGCCACAAAACACGTCAGTAAAAACAGAAAGTAATAACAAATGCTTGGCCAGCTTGGTTTGTTCCACAAGTTATTGCAAAATTTAAAAAAGCTAGGTATCCTTGCAAGTCTTAAATAGCTCACTATAAAACATTATTAAAATGTTATTTGGGAAAGCTTTTAAGTTAATTGCATATGTTAAAGAATTCTTAATGCTGTTATCTGATGTGCACTGCTAGACTCTCTCTCAGCATCAACTTATCCAAGTTAAATGCTCACTTTATGGTTTTTTGGGTTCGTTTTTTTAAGATCAAAACAGTATGAATTGCCTTCCACACATGAAAGAAAATATTTCACATCAAAAAAGTCTGTTTCTTAAAATACACAGTTGTAAGAATGCAGCAGGCAACTATTGATGGGGGGAGGGGGGAGACGAGTTTTAGCTGCAGAACTACCCTCATGTGAAAGGTGTGAAAATTTTAATTGGATAGCTGTTCAAACTTCCAGCTTTACAGAAAGGGCCTCGGCAGGCCAAACCAAAGTATTACCTTCAAATTTTACTGAAGTTATAGTTGGCTTGTAGGTGAAGTGTACTGATAGGCTCCAGCTGCTTCTAATGAACTACAGATTGAACTGTGTACCTAAGGAATGTCCCAATGACAGGATCATTCTGAAGTCTGGAACTGTGCCACTGGAAATAAAGCCAGGTATCTGCAAAATTTCATTTTCCACTAGAAAAATCAAGGTCACAGCAGGCTGGTACTGCAATCCGCACTTCATATTAGCTTTCGTAACAGATGAGAGAAAATGACACCGTCTATCTCACCCCAATGCTCCACTTAGATGCCATACCAAGCATTAGAACGACATCCAATGTACTATTGATTGCTCATCAAGGAATGGAACTGCTCTTGGCACTGCCTTACTGCATTAATGAACAAAAATATCATCTCTGATTTTTTTTTTTAAGGTAAAGGTACTTGCTATCTCTCGCAACCTATAACTCCCTAAGTAAATTCATGCAGAATTACCTTCATGATCTTCAAAGAAGCTAGGTATCAAGGAGCTTTGTACTGTGAAGACTTATTTTTTTATTCCCAAGAAAGAGAATGCAGAATGACAAACTTAATTTGCTAGCTTTATACTTCTACTTTTGATTGTTCCCAAATAGGTTTGCTTTATTTAGCCTTTGACAAAATAAAACAAAGTTTCTCTTTGTATGTTTAACTTAATGGCAGCATGATATACATAAAGTATTAATTACAGTACTTTCCACAGTACAACCCAACTTCACTCCTGTGTAGCTGCCGACTAATTCAGTGTCTCATTAGAATATTTAGATCACATTCTATAGCATATCAGTCCTATCTATTAACAAGGTAATAGGAGCATTTCACTAAAAGAGACTATAGGGTTTCAGCTGTGAAGGTATCAATGAGACCAAAGGCCAAGTAGTTCATCCCAAAGAGGAGCAAGTCCGGACTGCTGCCAAAAAATGGGGCACTGCCTCATATTATACCTTACTGAAGCTTTTTATTCTTTGGTAATAAACAGTCCCTCATCCCCAAAAACTTAGTGTCTCACCTCTCTATTTTCTTGGTGCATTTATAAACACATTCTTCAATCCATTTCTTATTCCTACCATTGCCCGTCACAGAAGTCAGCTGCAAGCTGCACTGTGGATAAGCTCAGACAACCTATATGATGAGGTAGCTGGACTGCTCATACTACAGAGGACAGATAAACTAAAAAACACATGGGGGTGAAGAAGAGTGAGTGGCATTTTCAGAGACTGGCCAAGAAAAGGGAATAGATGGTACTGAGGGGCTGAGAAATAAGACGTGTTTACTCTGGATGAGGTTGAAGCCCCCCATGTTAGACACCGTTGGTGGGTGTTACACAGTACATGCCTATACAGCAAGTGAAGGTGGGACTGTAACATGGGTAGACATACCCACACTATATTTAATCTAATTAGGACGTGTAGCAATCATGAAGATGTGGCAGCACAGGCTTCAACATGGGCTAGCCACCCCAGTACAAGCCTGCTGGGGACCCTATGTACATACTTGCGTTGCTAGTCCCCAGGGCCACAGAGGTTTTGGGGGACCCAGGGCAAAATCTGAAACCGAGGCCTACCACACTCCAGAAAAACAAACTTACTACTGAAGGGAGACCCTGGGGCACGAGGGGGTTGGAAAGTGAGCCTGCCTGCACCCACCCACAGCAGCAGCTACTATGGCGTGGACCCAGTTCCCTGGTTCAGGCATTGCAACCTGGCCCATGGGATTGCAGCACCACTCAGATTTGGCCTGGCCACACCTCACCATCACGATGGAGAGACACTCGGGACAAATTTGAATGAGTGCCATTGCGACCTGGCCCGTGGGGTTGCAGCACCACTCAAGTTTGCACCAGATCACAATGCTGCTCAATTTAGGAGAGCCCAAGGACAAACTGCCCTTTTTGCATCCCCAACCTGTGGGCAACACTAGTAGCCAGTGCAGAAGCCCGTATCACCATGTCTTCACTACTATTGTTACCTATTCTAGCTAGGTTAAAGCTAGCATGGCTATGCCTACCCATGCTACAGTCACACCTTCACTTGCACCGACTACCCAATGTGAGGCAAATTACATAAGTCATAGGGCATACAGCTATTGGGGTGAGCCACTACCCAACCAAATCCACTCAAACCCATGAGGCTCCTCCAATTTTTCCAGATGAAATAATAATTAGGGCCATGTTATAAATGGGGGGTGGGAAAATGAGGAAAATGGAAAACAGTGGGAATAAGCGGACTGGAAACAATCTTCTACTGCAGGCCAACTTTTATACAGAAGATTTCATTGCACAAATGTAGGTTCATAACTAATGCTAAAAGCCTGGCTAATACAAAAGTTTGCCACAGCACACAGGTAACTATAGTAGACTCTGCATTAGCAAAGTCTTAAATCCTTGTTTATTCAGGAAGGCTGATTAGAACTATTCATTCACAGCCCAGGAAAGGCTAATAAACAAATCCTACCTGTAAATCTGATTTCTGCAAAGTTGTCATAACACCACATGTCTGACACCTGTCATGAAAATTCTCTCTGGAGATTCAACTTCCAGCACCAGCCTGCCAGATGTGACACTAGAAGCAGATCACTTCAGATCGATATATGTAGAATTACCCCAAAAGACAATTTACTCACCCAAAGGTTAAATCCTTTAACCACTTAAAATCATTGTAGTGGTCAACACCTAGTACCCTGAACTGGACAGCTGTTTGTATCATCAATGAGTTTCAGATTACAGTAATAATGAAAGGTATGTTTACTCCCAATTATAGGAATTCAAGTATACACAAATCTCTACCAGGCAGCCTGATGGCAACTTTTTTATAGACAGACATTCTCTCACTTCCAACAGACCATTGATTCTAAGAGAAACTCCCTGGCAAGACAAGGTTGAATTCACAGTGTGCTAAGCATCAGAACTGTCAGAGATTTGTTGTTCTAGCTCACTTCTACTCTCTTCAGAGTATTTATAATTAAAAAGCAAATACCTATTCTTACATATATACAGATTTAAAATAGTCAGTTACAGTCAATCTAATTATGTATTCAAATAAGAGGTTAGCAGTATTGAAGTGAAATGGA